CAGGAACGTTGCTGACCGAGCAGGTTGTGTCACTCTCCATTGGTTGAAGGATCTGGGAGTTGCATGTGAATGAATGAGACGTGCGACAATTGGCTTCATTAATCATTTTTGGTGGGGAAAGTGTCTAATCGAGGAAAGGAAAGGGAAACGCAGACCACCGTGCTCACTGGCCTGTCCTGTCCAGTCTTTGACATAAATTATAGGTCATTTAACCCCGCTTTGACCCCATGCAGCAACAGAAACAATCTGGTCTCCTGTTTCTGTTTGCTGTCTTGAATAAGAATTTACTTCAGCTGGGAAAGGGACTGGAGGTAAAACTCAGATTGTTGACATGCGTTTCTGTTGGGATTTTATTGCGCTTCTCATGCACTTAAACTCCTTTTTTATGAATGACGATGAAAGGCCAACGTAATGCTGATCTTTGTTCCTCTTGTTCTCAGCTGTTTGTTAAAGCATCTGTTGGAGAGTCACCGTTGCCACAACTAGTTGTGCAGATGTCACATTTAGCTCTTTCTTGTCCTAGTTCTGTGTGAAAGGACAATGTGTAGTCAATAGTTGACATTTGGTCAGCAGAATGCTGTGGTCACTTCTGCTCCTCGCCTGACTTGGACTTTAGTTGACCAGAAAAATCAAATGTAAGTTAGAGATGTCAGACTGTACCATTTCAAAACCGTCTGTACAAACACAAGCATTGCCTGCAAGGATGACTTGTCTAGTTCTCACAACTTTGCAGCCACTCATTCCATGTTTCTTATTATTGCGCACTGCTGACAGACTTGTCTACATGTGTGTGTGCTTGTGGGTCTGTCTTTTAGCCAAATATCTCATTAGCTACTGGACACATTTCATAGAAACTTGCATGAAATAATCATTGACTTATACCTCTAGAAATTGATCAACTTTTGGAGTGAACCTGATTCAAGATGGCTTTTGTTCAGTCAGTTCTAAAAATTGTTGTTAGACGCTGAGAGTCCTTCACAACACATACTGTTAATGTGACGTCACCCGGCAGTGATTCATATCCACCTTATTCCTCGCCCTCATGCTGCCATGTGTGAATTGTGAACGCAACTTCCGTTGCGGACCAAAACTGGCATTTGTTTATGTGAGAAGAGTATGAGCTAATGTAGTTTCTCCAATCATTATTGATTTGCTGTATTCATTCATACCCATCTGCTCACCACAGACTCATGTTTGGGCTGCTGCTGTTACGCTGTAATGTTTTGCACTATTGGTGTTTAGCGTATATCTTAGATCTGTTAGCGTACCGTTTGGCGTGTTTAGCGTATATCTTAGATCTGTTAGCGTACCGTTTGGCGTGTTTAGCGTATATCTTGGTGTATATGTCGGCTGCCGATCGGTGCTATTTTTATTTTAGTCAGACAGAAAATAAATTGAACTATTATCAGCAATACCACCTAGTTAAACTAGGAATAAAATTAGGTCACTTATCACAGGGGTGAGCAGTGTTTCACAAAACAGATGGTAGAGGTTTACAATAATTTATTACTAGGAGATGGAAACTATACCGCTTTTCACTGGAACACTCTTTTTGTTTTGGGTCCATGTTCAAAACTCTGTTGTTGTAGCCACTGATTTAGTTTTGTCTGGTTGTTCGTGCAGCCGCGAACACAACAGGTACCTGAACGCAGCACGGCTATTTTAGTAAACTTTATGGTTGTTAAATAAATGTGAACAAAACAAAAACAGTGTTTTATCTGTTAAACTGAATGCAAATTACTTTCAAATAAACTGCAGTCTGTTCTCTGCTACCATGGGTAACCAATGCTAACTGCTACTTCCTGTCTGACAGGAAGTTGTACCCATAATCATTTATACAGCAGAGCCCCCAGAATAAGGTGGATATATTCCTTGAAGGAATGCTAGGCCTTCATTTAGCTACAAGGTGCATTAATCTCGTAGCTCTTCTCTGCATTGTGCAGTCACATCCTTTCTAATCCCCATGTTAAACACAGCATTACTCATTTGTCCTTGTTTGTTTGAATCTTTGCTCATAAACGCGCTCATTCATAACAGCAGAAGACTTTTGATGAATTGCCAAACTTGCGTCTGAGACGTTGCTATTACCATTCTGTCCCTGCTTATGTGGGCCATGCATGCATTAACCTGTATTTTATCCATGCAGGCAGAAGTGAATACTTTATTATTCAAATGTTTCCAGCTTGTCTCGTTCAGTCTCTAGTCTGGCAGCTAATCCTAATGTGGCCCAATTCTCCCCCCCCCCAAAAAAAACAAACAAACAAAAAAAAACAGTTTATCATCCTCCATGACAGTAAACAATGAGAGAAATGTAAACAGTTGTCTGGGAGCTGAACTTATCTAACTAAAAAGCCCATGAACAGAGCCGGGGGGAGCCGAAGACACCAGGCCTGCATTTATCTGCCATGTTCACAAGAATCCTTAGAAAGAGAGTAGCTTTAACTGAGCTTCCTATCATCACTGAAGCAAATACTGGTGCTTTAGTGCCGTGTTGTTTGTGATGTGGAGGGATTACTTAATAACTCATGGGGATTTTCACATAAAATGCAACATTGGATGAGACTAGGCTCACCATCAGCCCCGAAGAACAAGAAAAAAGCATTTAGGTCAGTGTAGAAGACTCCCCGTCTTCTAGTATACTGCAGGGGGGGGGTATGGTGTGATCTGCCATGCAGAAGTCTGTTTAAAGAGATGAATCCACTGTAACATCTGACTTATGTAATCCCAGTGGATCTAAAGTACGATGCACCTAATAGTATAGGATGAAACCAATAATAGCAGCCTCCTTGTTTTCCTTTATTTTGCTTATTTCTTCTTTGAGTTGTGATTTATGATAAGTTTCAGTTTGTACTGACTGATGGGAAAAGGCTCCATGGCCTGTTCTGTGCCTTATTTAACAAGAGCCTGCAAGGTGTGCAGGGAAATAACTTGTGTATAATAATAATGGCTTCCATGTGGCTGTGCAGGGTGTTGTATCTAAAATCTGACGTCGAAATGCCCACGAGGAAACAAAATTGTTTTCAAGGACAATCAACCCCATTTTTCTCCCGTTCTCTCTTCCCTCAGATGTGCAAGTTAATAAATAGAACTGCTGACATCAGCTGTTTTATTGTGTGAACGCTGAGTCAGCAGTCGCACCATTGTTTTTCTGTTATTTATTTATTTTAATTTTTTCGTACATTGCTTGCAGTCTGTTTCTGCATACTTTGTGCTAGTTTAGTCATTCATATATCAGGAACATTCACCTCATTCATGAAACGTGTACTAAGTACTTTGATTTTGTGACGTTTATATTTTTCTAAAAATGTAACTTTATTTACCGATACAAATATTTTCCTCGTGGAAATATGTTGGGGTAACTTTAGTTCCTTCAGTTCTTTTAGAAAACTACTTTTGCTACTTTACGCTACTTTTAGCTAACATTTAAAATTTTTAAGCTAGCTTTTTGTTTCTTTTAGCTTGGTTCTGCAACTTTTTGCTTTGAACTATCTGTAATATGTTGCTAGTTTGAGTTAGTTTTCTGCTGTTTACTGGCTAGTGTTTTGTAACTTGGCTGTTTTTTTTAAGTTTGCTACTTTTAGCAAGCATTTTAATGGTTTGCTTTTAACTAATACTTTGCTACATTCACTTAACATCTGTTGCTTTTTAGCTAGTGCTTTGCTTCCGGTAGCTTGCATTGTACTACTTTTAGCTAGCATTTCTTTTAGCTACTTTTTTGATACTTTTAGCGAACCTTTTGTTACTTGTCGCTATTAAGTAAAGTGACTTTAAGCAAACATTTTGCCCATTTTAGCTTGTTTGCTACTTTTAGCTACCATTCTGCTTTTGTAGCTAGCGTTTTGTTTCTTTTAGCTTGGTTTTGCAACTTTTAGCTTTTATAACTTTTTGCTTTTAACTAATAAATTGCTACTTTGAGTTAGTTTTCTGCTATTTACCTAGTACTTGCTAGCGGTTTATAACTTTTGGCTTTTTTTAAGATTGCTAATTTTAGCAAGCATTTTACAATATTTTGCTTTTAGCTAATACTTTGCTACATTCATTTAGCATTTGCTGCTTTTTAGTTAGTGCTTTATTACTTTTATCTAGCTACTTTGCTTCTTGTAGCTTGCATTTTGCTACGTTTAGTTAGCATTCTATAGCTTTTAGCTATTATTTTGATTCTTTTAGTATACATTTTGTTACTTGTAGCTTTTAAGTCTGACTTTAAGCAAACATTTTGTCCATTTTAGCTTGTGTTTTGCTACTTTCAGGTAGAATTGAAAAACTTTGACAGTATTTTGCTTAATTAGCATGTACCTTGTTTTCAGCTTCTGTAGTAAATTTGAGCAGTCTTTTAGCTGTCAGCTTTTTTTCTTGAGTTTAGTTTGGGAATATATCCATCCACAGTTCATAGGAAGAACATTTGATGAAGTTATAGTAGTGAAGTAGACTAAATGCTCATCAGTCAGTGAATTTCAGCTATTAAGTATTTTCTTTATTTGCCTCATCAAGTCCTATAATAATAATAATAATATTATTGCTGCAAGCATTTGGATCAGATATTGATACATGCAAACATTTAATTGAACATCTGCTTCTTGTAACTTGCTTCACTTCCATCTGTTTATTACAGGCTGAAACACCATCAACAATATATTCTATCTGGTTTTAAACCCATAATGGAAATCTTTTCTTCTAACTGGCTCAATGCCCATATCGATTGATATAGTCTTCATAGTTCATAAACTAAATGACATGGAGGTGTCTACACAATATAAGAGTCGGCAGTGAAGTCGTTTTTACAGCTGAGCTGAATGTTCTCCGCTTGTGGTAGAAAGGATTGCTTATGTGTTGGAATTTTTCTTTGTGCTGAACTGTTTTTGTTTTTGTTTCCAGATGTCTTTCTACGTTGGTGGCATGCTGTAAAAACAAAAAAGTCAACACTCTTCAGCCCCTTGTCCTTGACGCACAAAGGATTTTTCCCAATGTGATGCCACCTGCCCTCTATGAGTTATGATGGCGGCTGCTTCTGTAACTCGAGAAAAAGGATCCTCCTCCACTCTCCAGTGAGCAGGCTGCATGATGTGATGAGGACGCTTCCTGAAAGTCTGCTCCTCAAACAATCTGCCGGCAGGATATGAGTATTTTGAGCCCTGTGACCGATAACAAATCAACCCTTGTGGGAGGTCCAGAAGAATACTCCAGTGCCATGCAGTCAGAGGAGTTATTCAGCAGGAAACTCAAGGCCTTGAATGGAAGTATGGGCCCACCGGCTTCAAGTATGCAGGTGAAATCTGATGGTGCTGGCAAAGCAAATGGTACTCCAGCCATGCCTAAAATGGGTGTCAGGGCCAGGGTGACAGAATGGCCACCGAGGAAAGATGGATGGGATGGACGGCCTTCACCGAACTACCAGAGCGTGATCCCAGTTTTTCAGAATGGACAGCAGGAACATATTGTGGAATTGCTGGAGCCAGGAGAAGAGGTCTGTGTGGAGGTGGACTACAATGACAAATACACACTGAGTGACCTTCTCAGCCATTCCCCGCTGAAGGGTCTTCATCCTATCCGTCAACGCAGCAACAGCGATGTCACCATAAGTGACATTGACTCCGAGGATATAATGGACCAGAACGCTGTCAATCCAAACACAGGCGCTTCTCTGCACCGAGAATATGGCAGCACATCCTCCATCGACCGCCAGGGGCTTACGGGAGATGGTTTCTTCACCATGCTGAGAGGCTACAGAGTGGAGAACTTGGACCATCGTAGCATTCCACCTCTGGGTTTTCCAGAGCTGTTGCGCTGTGATGCATCCTTGTCTCCAAGCTTGCAGACAGCAGCACAAATTGCCAGGGGTGAGATAGTCCACATTCCAGGTTATGACTACATAGACAGTTCTGTATTCTACAGTCGGGAGCAGGAAAAATCATTTATGAGGCGTCTTAAATCGGAGTCAACCGAAACTTCTTTGTTTAGGAAACTAAGGACCATTAAGAGCGAGAGCGATGCCTTGCGGCTCTCCATGGAGGACGACCGGCGACCGCTGAGCTTTCAGAAATGTTTTGCGCACTACGATGTACAGAGTGTGCTTTTCAACATCAGCGAAGCAGTCGCAAGCCGGGCTAACTTGAGCCAGAGAAAGAATACTACCACTGGAGCTTCAGCTGCCTCAGCTGGAATTGGGCCTGGGGTTGGTGGAGTACTGGGAGGTGGTATAGGGCCTGGATCTGTGGTAGATGTTGGAGCAGCAGGTTGTAGCAGTGGAAATACTCCCTTGTTTGAGTCTCCGCTTGGAAGCAGAGAGGACCTGAACCCCAAGGAGAACCTGGATGCAGATGAGGGGGACGGAAAGAGCAACAACTTGGTGCTGAGCTGTTCGCACTTTCGTAATGAGATCGGTGGTGAGGGTGAGAGGAAGATCTCCCTCTCCAGAGCCAACAGTGCCAACTACAGTGGCATATCCGAGAGCTGCTCTTTTGAGTCCTCTCTAAGTTCCCACTGTACGAATGCAGGAGTTTCTGTACTGGAGGTGCCTCGAGAAAGCCAGCCAATCCACAGGGAGAAGGTCAAACGCTACATCATTGAGCACATTGATCTTGGAGCGTACTACTACCACAAGTACTTCTATGGAAAAGGTAAGTGCTAGAGATTAATGTTTTTACTGTGTGGTTGAGAAGATGACAAACTACAAACTAGCATGCAAAAATGTAGAAGTTACAGTAAATATTAGCTGATGGAGCATTCTTTATACCAAAATGTTGGTTTTTGAGAAAAATGGTTTTATGAGCCTGGAAAAAAAAGAACTTTGTTTGGTTAATCATTAGCTTACCATTTTCTTCAAACCCGTTCTACTGCTACTGTACTAACTGTTACATTGGGTCAAAAACGATTAGCCCATCCCTTTTAGCATGACTCCACACAGTTGACTGTTTTCAGTAATTTTCCAAATGGAACAGCATCAAATTAATTTGCTGGTCTAATTAATTTGACACGGCCAGATTACTTAAATGTTCAGAACAATCGCAGGTTTGTGTTGGTTGAAAAAGCATTGGACGTCCAGGATTCATGAGCAGCTATGTCCTCTGAGATCTTTATCTTTGCCCCAACCCACCCCGCAAAGAAACTATGATCGGCCATGTAAGAAGAGAGAGGTGAATGAGGGTGTGTTGCAGCTGTTCCCCACGGGGATCACTGGGGTGCGAGGACTCCTCGTATGAAGCTTTAAGGTCAGCAGAGCTACGCCAGGGTCCCTGCTCTCCTCATTAAAACACCTCTGTGGCTGACTCTGGGAACACCGTGGTGACCCGGACCCATCAGCACAATATGCATATGTGTTGTCCTCGCCGTCTGTGCGTGCTGCTCTCAGCAGATTGAATTACTCATTCTGAAACCCAGAAGAAAACAGCTGCTTCACCTTTCACACTCGTATATCTGATGCTGTGTACGATGTGACCGAATGTACTTTTCATTTGGATCTGTTAAGCGTTCACAGGAACGGGTTGCTTTATTCATTGCTTATCGGAGAACTTGTGTAGCTGTCTAAGCTCTTTGTTTGGGAGAACGTAGACCGTCATCCATTCATAATCCTCTCCTTTTGTGTCAGCTTTAAATATATGTAGGTTTTACTGAAAACGCCTTTTACAAATAATAACACGAGGTGTTTAATTGAATGAACAAGCTTGTCATTGTTGCACTGACACAGTGAGTTTCGTCTTTTATTGTCAGTTTTTATCAACCTAAAATGAACTTTGATCCTATTGACGGGCCGCTCCTTAGAAACTACAGCCTTTCATCCTTGACGTTTCTTGTTTTTACCAAAGACCAAGCCTTGCTATAAAGCTGGTTAGAGTCACATAAAGTTTATATATATACACAAGTATATAAATGCGGGTTGGTGAAACAAAGAGATGCGCAACAATCTTCAGCTGAAATGAAAATCATCAAGTTCAAGAATCTTTATTATCCCCAAGGGGCAAATTGTTTCACAGTCAGTAGGCACACCAAACGCCCATAGACAAGACATTAAGACATTACTAGGGGTGTAACGGTACGCTAAAATCACATTTTGCCTCGGTTCAGTTTCAAGGAGGGCTCGGTTCGGTTAATTTTCTGTACAAAAAAAGGCCAAAATAAAGACTTACAAAACGTTTTTGAAAATGTGCCAAGTAAACAATATGTTTGTATAAAAATAAATAAAAGCGACCCATTTGGATGATATTTTAAATAAACGGCACTCTTTACAATAAATAAACTATACTATCAATAATAAAGATCTTCATAAATACAATAACAGTCAGAACCAGAACAACGAGCAGACTTCACAGATTCTTAGCTGGAGGTGATCTCTGGTGGATTTCCCTGAAGAGGAAGAAGACTCAGCTGCTATCTTTGTCCCAGACTGGAAATAAAATACGAAGAGGTAAAAAAAATAATCAAACAATGAGTTAATAAGATTATAATTTTAAATTAAAAAAGTTAATTAGATAATAATAATAATGAAATAACAAAACCTCTTCTTGAACGGTCATCATTTGTTATGAGGTAGGGCTTTAATCTGGAGTCCAGGGCTTGTTGACGATCAGTTTTAGCTTTTTCGTAAAGTGCTGCTACAACTTTTTGGCTGAAGTGTTGACGTGATGGGATGTGGGCTCAAGAACTTTATGCTTAAAGCCGACGCATCAACAGCATTTGGACGTAGATCCAGAGCTTTAACAACTCCTACAGCTTGTGTTGTTGCTTTGGACTGATCTGAATTACCTGATAAAGGTTGTTTAAATGCTGCTGTTATCGGTCTTTGCACCAACCAAGCTGCTATCTGTAGAAGAGACGTTCACGTTCAGATTATGTCGTTTCAAGAGCGTTAACAAGTTAGACGTGTTGCTGCTGCAGATCCAATCTCCGTGAAACCACGTCGACACACAGCTTTGGATTTACACTTGTCTTTTAACAAGAAAGCCACAACGTTCCCCAACAGGAGACCGCAATGAGAAGCTAATGCTAATGCTACGCGTGCTGCAAGATAATCTTAGGAACTTTATTTCCGCAGCGCATAATCTATAATCTAAT